GAAATATACCTTCCTTCAGTCTACTACTTCGTTCTGTGAATAACAAAAATTAGAAATCTGTGAGTTATAAATCTCTACGAAATATTATTTTTTTATTTCAGATAATAAGAAATTAAAACTCAGCTAGTTAATATTGGTTAATATTAGTATTATATTAGCACGATTCAACGTATGGTGTAAAGGTTGTAAAATTATATTGAATACCAAAACGAAATATCTAAAACCTACGTATATCTTAATATAATCTGTTGAATCATAATGTCTATCTCGGATCATATAGATACAAGGAGAATTTAAGTAGTCACCTGTTATTGACAGATATTCTGATGTTAATTTCAAGATATTAAGACATTCGAAAAATAAGAACGATAGATAATTAAGCTTATAATCTGTTCTCTTTAAATAATAGAAATTATAATTTATATTGTTAAAATATACAAGTATATTACATTATCGATTAAACTTGGAGTTTCTACCACTCTACGTTCGAGGATGATGGCATTCTTTTTTTAATCTAATCTAACAAATCGCAGAACAGAATAATAGATAAAACGATCGATCGTTTGACTTAGGTGTTAGTCGCGTCTGGATTCGATTATGAAACCGCACCGCACTACGAAGCCTGGGTGGAGGTTCGCGATTCCGACACCCCAGCACTCAGGAGTGTGGTGGAACTGTTCGTGAACGTCACGGACGCGAATGACAATGCCCCGATAATGGAGGCGCCGATTTACAACGCCACGGTGCCCGAGGACGAGTATCCGCCTCTGTTCGTCAGCAAGGTATCGGCGAAGGATCGCGATTACGGAGAGAACGGGCAAGTGTCTTACCATCTGGTCAACGATTTCGCCGAGACGTTTATCATCAACTCTGATACCGGGGAAATTAGCACCAATGCGAAACTAGACCGCGAAGAGGTAAGTGTGGACTCGATGACGAGTGTCTTTAGAACAGCGGATAGAACGAGTCAGTCTCGTTTCAGATCGCTTCCTACGAGTTGATCGTGGAGGCACGAGATCAAGGACAGCCCTCCCTCACAGGCACGACGACTGTCTTGCTCACCGTGCTCGACAAAAACGACAATCCCCCGCAATTCACTCGACTGTTCAGCGTGAACGTCACGGAGAACGCGGAGATCGGCACGTTCGTCATAAGGATCACGAGCAGCGATCCGGACATCGGGCAAAACGCCAACGTCACTTACAGGTTCACGGAAAATCCCGGACAAAAGTTCGCTATGGACGCTCTGAGCGGCAACGTCACCGTGGACGGGCATTTAGACAGGGAAGAACAGGACGAATATCTGTTAAAGGTTCGTAGATAGACTAATTTCACACGCAATTTCAAATATTCTGAACACCGTTTTAACCAACTCTACAGTCTATCAAATTTTACTAACACATCTTTCATGTTATATGATATTTTTCACGTTAAATGTTGAATTAGAATCGGATGTTAGATATATAATTGTATATAATTTTATTTTCGTGTATCAGTTCCTCTGGACAAATTCCATTGTCACGCTTTGTCAACAAATTTATCTTCTAAACTCTGGAATCAAATATTCCGGAGTTTTATTCCATTTTCAAAATTAACATGGGCCTAGGTGTCAACATTAAAATCAGTTTCATATGTCCAATGAGCCTGTATCGAACTCATCCATTCTATGACAAATTATTCATATTGTATATTCAGATTGCTCTACGAAGTTCCTTCTCGTTTTATTTGTCAAACTTACGTACAATAAATAAAAGTAAATTTGAAAAGTAAACCAAAGAATTTCAACGAAACCGTTGAATTGTTACAGCTGGTGGCAGCGGACGGAGCCTGGCAAGCAGCGACCGCCCTCACAATAACCATCCAAGATCAGAACGACAATCCGCCGGAATTCGACGAGGAGTCCTATCACTTCCACTTCCCCGA